CCCCGGACCATGAGCATGGTCGGCGAGCGTCCTAACCGCTATGCCACCGACACCAATTGGACATTACGCGAACTTACTGTAAATCAGGTTTAAGAATTATTCTAAGATAATATGGTAACTTACTAGACTTAAGGATCGTAGAAAAAAGTTCAAAAGTTTACAATAAATGAACGACTTGATTATATCAGAGAGAAATATGTTGGAAAATGAGTGCTGCAATGAAATGAAATAAGATCTTTTTGGACACAAAATTATCTACCGCTTTGAGTATTATCTACCCTCATTTTCGGATAAATTTATTACTGGTAATATTCACAAGAAAACCAGTGATTTTTAACTCTGAAGGCAGACATTCTTCAGATTACTTTTGTACACTTATACCAAAACTGATCAATCCACTCTTAAGACAACTGATAATACAGATAATAAAGTAGTACGATAAACCCTTCATCCTAAACATGGATGGAATAGCACCCAGGTGATGAACTGAAAATAAGGAGCAAGAAAACTTATAACAGATAAAATCAATAGTATTAAACAAACATAAAAATGAAATGAGAAATTAAGACCAAGATAGACGTGATTCAGTCACTTTCTTCTTTGTACATACATACTCTGAGCTTTTTCATGAAAATTGCTAATAATGAGGAAACAGGCCATCTACAGGAAAGCCATTAATGCTGAGACTGACTGACCACCTTTGAGAAACGTTTCAACTATATAGTTTCTTGAAGATAAGTTGTTACTCCTTTGCGACTATAGTAGTAGGAAATAATAGATCATCACAGACAATAAAGATAAACCTTCATATCTGTTGTCTGTTCCCCAGACTTGCCGTAAAATAGTCTTTAAGTTGATGACCGAACGGTTATCTCATGGATATACAGTTCAGTCGTCACGTGGAACAAGCTATATACAACACTAGTTGCCAGTTTTATCAAAAACTATAACGGAGCATTGCCTTACATTTTACTTCACCATCCATACACAAGCACTGACACAAACTCATTTCCATGCGTCTTGCCTACTCATAAACACCTTTTCAATGTTTTTGAAGTGGTGAACAGAATAATATTTAGATTTCAAATTTTAAAGCATCAGTAATGTGTTCAAAAAATATGATATTTCAGAAAAACTAGGAAATTCATATGAACATTGGTTTCAGTTCAGTGATTTTTTTTCACTTCTCTTCAAAGAACTTACCAAAAGCTAAGCAGAAATTTTTGGATGCTATTAGTTTGCGTTATTGAAGTGAGCTTTCGTCATCTTTTTCTGAAACCTCTCTCGGTGTATGGTTTTTGAACTTTAGGTCACCCTTCAGGTATGTATTAATTTTCTTGAGTTTATTAATGCAGTATAAAGAAATGAAATGAGGCTGAAAGTATTTTTCGTGTATAATATAATCAGCTGGTTGGTTGCTAACCACTGACTTCTCAGTTATCTTTAGCTGTCGATTTACTATTCTGCAGGAATGCACACATATAGATAATGTTTATATGCAAAACATTTTGTATCAATAAAAGCAAATTAAGAATTAAACATTGACAGTTCATAGTTTACATTTAGTTCAATAATTCATTTATCATTTTTAATTATTTTTAGAGAAATGTTTACATTAACTTACTTTTTAATGCATTTATGGCACAACCTAGAAAACTTGTGATACACTTTATTACTATTTTAAATAAGAGAGATACACACGACTTAAAATCTAAGAGATTTGAATACCCTGACTAGAAATTTTACCACATTAGTGGTAAAAGTTTAAAAAAATTATCGCTTTTCTCACAGAAGTGTATCAATTCATTACCAGTATATTGGAATATTCCTTTTTTTTTCCAAAAACACGTTCATACTGGCTTTATAATGTATACTTTAAGGGCTTCCAAATATACGAGAGTGTGTACCCAGTTTGTGAATTATAAAAGTCTAGTCTAGTCATAAACTGTTTGACATCATATACAGGCTGCAGAAAACTGCTATAAACATAAATTATTATAATTATTTACTGAGAATACCACACGACAGTATTTGTCACTGCTGTTATCCATGAAATACATGAAATTCTCGCATTGTTGTCACAAGATATTTATTTGCTTAAGTATAAGGAGAATATGGGAAATAACACCGATGATTATAAAGACACTGCCAGTCAAGACCCAGTATTTCATAACTTTGTAGGTCCAACTAATAACCCTGGGTTATGAAAATGGATCTAAAGAAAGATATGAATGCTCAGCACTTTCTTAGATCACAACATAAACTGTTCACCAGTTTGACATATTCCTTCACTTTTTACTGACATTAAGAAAATGATACCTGGAAAGAATATCATAATGGTTGACATTTTATAGCCCTTCAATAGGTTACAACAACACCTTATTCAATGAACAATGATGACATGTTCCACACACTTAACCACAACAAACTGATTTGTTGACATCAGTTAGAGAACCATTGGAAAACCTGGGAGTACTGGACAGCTGTTTCGTCCTAGTTTGGGACTCTTCAGCAGTACGCACCCACCGAGTTTCGAACCCTGGACCTTCTGGTTACAAGGCGAGCTCGTATACCATTAAGCCACTGGGACCCGATCCAATGGTCCATGAATTCTAACTTCTGCCAATTCACGACATAGCGCGACCCCTAGCCAATGTCTTCGGCGATTATTTGTCCTCACGCCCGACCTGCTGCACCCTACTGGTCACGACTTCTCACTAGAACCCCAGGTGACTACCCACCTGAATAGGGCAAGTCGCTAGTGAGCATCTCATTGATTTTCAAGTGTTGGTTTGTAGGGATTTGATTGGTTCTCTAACTGATGTCAGCTCATGATGAAATCCTGTAACCAATCAAATCCCTACAAACCAACACTTGAAAACTGCTGTGTCTTCAGATACACATAATTAAAACAGTCAACTCAAAAGAAATAAGACGGATAAAACACAGTTAAATTCCCATAGTTCGTTCCACCATTAATTTACAGTTGTTTGAGTGGCTCAGGTTAAAATAAATTGACCAGATAACGATTCATAAGTAGGTTTACAAAACCATATCCAAAATTATTTAGATTTTTGTTTCTCTAGTTTTGTGAATGTGTACAATTAATACAATAAGCCAGCAACAGTGTATGTACAACTTTGTTTAGCAAAATATTCAAGTGACCCAAAAAGTTATATTTTCACAAGAGATGCATAAATTTTTAATGATTTAGAAGTGTAAATTGGACTTATGGTGTAATCAAGGTATACCTCAGGTTGGATAAACATCGAAAGATGTGTTAAACTCTGGAACTGTATATTTATACCATTCGTTTGCCATGTCCATTCAGTGAAGCCTAAATAAATAAATAAACGCTACCTATCTTAATAGGAAAGTTGTGTTTGGGAATGCTTTTACCGAAATTCGAAAATAATCAAATTGACTCCGAGAATATTATTCGCTTCACAAAACACTCCAGAGCATTTGATGTTTCCTAAGCAGGTTTCGTTCAAGTTTGGTAATCGAAGAGAGTTGTAAAGAAGATCTGGACCTATATAGCCTGATTTTCACATTCATCCTCGAGGCAAGGGACGTAAACCCAGATATCCTCCACGGGTTGCATTCAAACATTTAATACTAAACTCTAAGTGTAAATGAATGGCATAGGTTTGGCTCACTCAAATATGGAGTTGGTTAGACAGGAAATACAAATCAGGCAATCTCTACGCACATCTCAGAACACTATTTATCTTGGCTACGAAGAGGAAAGCCAAGGTCAGTCAGTAGCCTGATTCTTGAGCATCTGGTAAATTAGGATCCCATTTGATTCTTCTTTTAAATTTACGCCAAATTAAGGGAAAATGTTGCAAGTAGTATCAGGTTGTGACAATTTTGCTTGGTGAAAGTATTAGTAATTCACCAATTTAAGGCCCAATTCTGCAAGCAGAAAAGGTTTGTTGTGGCGCTCGCTCTAGCGTAATTATAAATGTCTTCCTACTTATTGGGTTTTGCTTTTATTGAAACAGTCGCTATTAATACCCCTGGGATATTCTTTTTTGCCTTTTGTTTTTCTCACATCCCAAGTGGACACTCAGCCAAATTAATTGTCGTCTAAGACTAATTAGCCAACTGTCGAAATCTCTGCCTGTTCATTCCTTTGTCTTTTCAACTATTATATTTTACTATTATTCTCCTGTTTTTGCAAACCACCTCTGGGTAACGGTAATGAATCTTTTGTCCTCTTTATTATTTTACGTTGAGTTAATGCAAATGAGACCTAGCGGCTCCTAGAGAGATGACTTCGTCAATGACGATATTTTCCTTTGAATCATCTTCTAGTTTTATCACTTCTGCAGGCACTGCTATGGCAGGCCTCTGCACTAAATGGCCAAAAATACAACTAGACAGAACAACACTAGTTTCTACATGATATGTATTCGATTTATATTCCATGTTACACATTCTTTGGCAAAATTATGTTTTAGATATACGGAAAATTGTTCCCTAAAACAGACAGAGCAGTTGTAATGAAGTCATTAATCTAACAAAATAATTCTACCAATTACAGATGGAATTTTCACTTTTCCCATCTTATTGTATTTTGTTGATAACACTAATATTATTTCCAAATGTACTTTATTTCACATTGACTTTATTCAAATATACCTAATCAACTTTTACTCATGTGTATAAATGAAGCAAAAACGTTGTGTGAGTGACTTGATATGATTGTGAGCAATAATTCGTGCTCAAAACATCATCAGTAAATATTACTGCATAACACTATGTGATTTTATCAAAATCAAATTTTTTCCATAAGGGAATTCCCACTTCTGTATAACTTTATTCGACACGATAAATCATAAGTAGAAAACAACATAATTCAAATAACATAACTCACTGAGATAGTCAGTAAAACTACTGATTATGTCGAATTAGCAGATAATTCACAGTGTTACTAGATAACTACTTAATATCGATTACTAACTGCCTGCTTGTAAACTTTGTCTTTTATACAGTCATTCCTTGTCCTTCAGTTGACTCTGTCTCGATCATCTCCGATAAATGTAATGGACAGCTAACATGTTCTGTTAGTCCAAATATTGTACTCGAATCTCTATATCAAACACAATCCAATGAAGCAGCATTGCTGAATCAAATTTCATGTGCGAAGTCATACTTATACTTAAAATATACATGTGGTAAGTTTAAATAATCAATTATAACTAAGTAATTTTGATTCTTGGTGATATATAATCAAAAGTCCATAAATTCTAATAAACACTGCCGTCAGATGATCGCGTAAATCATTCATTTACCTGTTAGATGTGGTATGGTCAAGAAAGCATCCTTAAATCACCTACTGAAATTCGCAATGATGTTTACATTTTGACGGTAACGAGAATAAATTTTCCCATAGGATAACTCTGAAAGTTTACAGCTGACCAGTTTTAGAGTGTCAAATCAAGTTTCGTGAATATTTCTGAAAAGAGGTATAGTTTACACAAAATGTTGGCCGCAAAAGATGCAGAGGAATTACACCACAGAACTTAACGAATAGAAATGCTTTTCTTGACTTTGAAGTAAACACAATTTTTTACAGGGATAAGATACTTAAAATTATCTTTCATGAAACGATTTCGCAGATACTTCATGATATTTGAAGCATCGGTGCGGTAGATGTGAAGATGATGATGCTTTCTGCATGAGAAAGTTGGAATGAAATCGAAGATTAGTTTTCCACATATAAATTAAATTTAGTTGAGTTCATATATGATGACCTGAAAGTCCTCTAGGTCTTCTACAAAAAGGAAAAACTGAGAACATTTTAATGATCTACATGGTAGAATTATAATGGCCTGTCTTCCAGGCAATTGCTGTGAGTAATTTGATTTGTAAAAAAAGCCTAACATGTAATAGTTTTCTAGAAAGTTATTACTAAACATGTGATTATAGTGCTTAGTTCAAACAATATGTTCACCACATGGGGTATATGTGTTACCAGCAGAAAAGTTGACAGTTTAAACAAGAAAATCATTTTAGTCGTAACACACAAAAGGTGAAATCGCTTAGTAGAATTATAGATAAATACAGAATGCCAATCACAATTTTTATCGAAATTACAAGTATCCGGTATATAATTGCCTGAGTTTTAGGAGAATATGTCAAGCGAACAGCCAAATGTCTAAACGGATATAAAGTTTACTTCGTGTAATATATAGTTAAGTTAAAAATTTTCACTGAATTAATAAATAAATCCCCTCCGATTTGTTTCACTTCTAGTGCATAATGTCCTGCTAGAAATACCTCGTCCAATTGCAAATCCAAAGAAATCAGAAAAGCATCGAGAAAAATATGGTAACAAGTCAAAAAAGCGGCTGAATAAGCCGGGAATGAATATCAGTAATAACCTAAAGCTGAATAACGTAGATGTTGTTTTTTTCAATGATGACCTTGTAACTTATTCCAGTCAGACTGATGGTTCGAATATACAAACAAATCCTCTAGACCATACATTAAAAAGTGAGTTAATGATTGTCATTATGTTACTGAGTGATGAAAACGGTTTCAGCGTCTACTCAGAGTAATTAATGGGAAATAATAACTTTGCATAAGAGAATTAGTAATGTTTACATTAGTGACTTTAATGTGTGAATAATTAGCGATGCCGTTTAGTAAAAACTGGTAATTTGAATATTTAATACAAATCTATGTAAGCATCTTGAATCTTAGTACGTTTTGCACTCATATAACATAAACTTATGAAAACGATCTTTAACGCATGAAACTATGTACTACTGATCGATTAAGATGAGTAGTTATACAACACTCATGTCAACCAATAGTACTTGCCAACTAGATCTAAGTGATCTAGACACTGGACAGCTGCTTTGCAGTTTGAGGCTGCCAGTCAATCGGCAGCATATAGTTTTATTCATCTACGCGTTTTTCCTGATAACCATTTATTGTATCTAGCAGACTATATATTTTGGTTTCCAGAGGAAACTGTGGTGAATTCTCACCTCGAACTGTGTAAATTGCAAGCTGAGATTCCGACTTTAACCGATCCTTCCTTATCAACATATTTATGACAACACTGCTGAGTATAATGGATACTTTGTGTTATCCATTTCTTCAAGATAAAAGATAAGTAGTTCTGATGAGTACTGAAAAGCTCAAAAGCTAAGCGCAGAATTCCCACGAAATGAGCCTTCTTAAAATCCAATGTCAAAAACACCCACACTTAGATAGATATAAATAGTAGCAAACAAGTCAGCCCAATAACTACGTTGCATTAATGTTCAACGGTTTTCGATGGATGCACTGAAAACCAGACAACCACATTCGTCATCACCTGATAATCAAACAGAGTAATATGCATGTTTTATGAAGTGTGTTAACTGACTTCACTGGAGTGTTTCCTGTATTGTCTATGAGTTTCAAGTGCCTCAAACTTAGTGGCTCAACTGATGGTTTTAAGGAAAGAATGCTTAGATATGATGGAGAAGATTTGTAGCTCAGGTGGATGATTTTGATATGGGTGTGTTCTCTGAACTGGATAGTTTATTTGCGAAGCTTTCATTGCCCTACTAGGCAACATCTTCAGTGCATACTTCACTTTGAATCACTTCAAAAAAACAGATTTGTTTTAAGGTACAAATATTCACATCCATATGCATCGTTTAAAATCAAGGTAGATTATTAAATTTTTATTGCTTCCAACATTTTAAAAAACACTTTTCACCGACAGTATATAAATAATTTACTTCCCTTGAGATAATAGTCATTAAAAAAATACAAACATATCAAGATCAAACGTTTAAGCAGACAAGCATTCTCAAGTCATTATTGACACTGGGTGATTTGTTAAAAGACCCTTTCTATGTATTGAGAGAATTGTGACATATGGCCGGGTAACTGAAGCACGAGTGTCATTCAACTAGGGTTTCTGTCTAAAAAGAGATCATTCTCATCGACTATTGGTAAAATTATAACTTTAAAGTAAAAGACGAAATCCAACAAAACAAGATTTATTAAATTTCATATATTTAGTAAGTCTTCATTGAACTCATCGATTGAATTTTTTACATACTCGACTTTTCATTCCAACGCAAGTGCAGATTTAAACAACAGAACATAGTATTATAAAATGGAAACACAAAATATCAGCAGAACAAACAAATATTTGAGAACATTGAAGAAAGGATGATATTAGTATTGAAAAGCAATATATATTTATATATATAATTGTGTCTCTTCAGTTAGAAGAACATTATAAACTGAATAGGTAGGCTGGCGAGAGTTTAGAATAACGTAACTGCGGAATTTTCAAATGGCTAACAATCGAAATAAAAAATTAATATGAAATAAGTCAGTAAATGAAGTAAGGAGTGTGTATGATAAGCTAAGCAAAATAATAATAGATGATGAAAAAGAATAAGAAAGTAAGCTAAAAGAGTAAACATCGAGTAGTAAAATTACAGGGCGATTTTATGTTTCCAGAGGAATCATGGTGAAATATCACACTGAATCATGCAAACAAATAACTTCGGTGTGCTTGTATTTGATGATGAAATCATATATAAGTGAACTGCTCACAAAAATTTGAATTCAGTGAGCATGTTGAACATTTTGAGTCTACGTGATGAATTCGTGTCGTCCCCTTATGCTCGTTGTTCTCACACTTCATAAAATAATATAAGTGTATGCTCAAAAGAAGTTTCTTCCACCTTCATTTCTCTCTCTCCAGCTGATTGGATTTATATATAAATCAACTAGCAAACTTTCTCAACACTCTCATGCCTTACGTTCGCTTCATACATCTATCAAAATTCGTTATCACTTGCCTCGCCTTTCGTACTATGTATCTTTTCCAGCATAGAATAAATTTACTTGATAATTTCTTACAGTGTCATACAGTAATATTTACTGATGACATTCTGAACACAATTTATTGCTCATAATCATATCAAGGAACTCACACAACTTCGTATGTATATATATATGAGTCCCAAACTGAATAAACATATGAATAAATAAGTAATTGTAAATATGAAGTTCAACAGAAATGTGCGAAACAGATTATAGGAACTCAAAGTACATTCAGAAATTAGATGAGTGTTGTCAGTAAAGTAAAACAAAACGTTAGAGTGTGATAACTTAAACTGAAATAAAATATAAGCAAAACTGAACATTATATCTTATCCTTTGATTTGATTGGTTGTGACATTTTCCCATGTCCCTGGTATTGGCACTGAGTCGCTTCTCTTGCACATGTTAGGTGTAGATTCGATGAACAAAGATGATGTGCCATGATGTACCACCCAAGTTATTTTCTTATATGCATCTTTTTATTTCCTAAGGATTTTGTCTCTTCTGATCACTAAAATACAAGTTATTATTTTGATATAAACCATCATAAAATGCTAAAATATTAAGGTGTTATTTTAGTTTCGAAAATAAAGTCTATTTCTCCATTACTTTTTCTTCTTAATCAGGTTCATCCGCCACAGTCAACGATGACATAATTAATGCACTTAACGAGTTATCAGTTTCTCCGAAAACGAAATCAGCCCACTTTTATCTTTCTGCTTTACTTCCTGCAATGCTTTGTATTGTTGTCAGTTGTATATTTGTAGTTGCCATTCTGTGTCACAGAAGGCAACTATTCAAGAGGAAACTGAAGTCTAACAACCTATGTCGGACGATACACAGTCCAGTTTATTGTAATGGACACGTTTCCTGTAACATGACAGTTGATAATAATCATGCAAACGATTATCAATCAAATATGCAGATGAAACTTTCCCAATCAACTCATCCTATCAAAAAGTGCATACCTCAATGGACAGACGAAAGGAATTTCATTTCAAATCTACAGTCATTACAGCAAACAGACTGTTCAGTCAATCAGTTCCCTCAGTACTGTCCCGGATGTAATAATGAACAGAAAGAAACATCTGAAATTTTTCATTATCAGAATATTTCATATGGTGATGACATTAATAATGACACAAACCCTTCAGTTAAAGCTAGTCCCAATTCGAGCAGCAGAATGCCTAGTACAGAAAATTCATTTTCACCGAACTGTACTGATACCATAAGTAAAACAGAAACTGTTTGGACGCCGTCAACTTCTTGTTTCACCCATGGACTATTAAACACCTCATTGAAGCATTATAATCATTGTAATTCTCCTTATTTTAATCATCCTAATAACCTAATATACGCAAACTACAACACATGTTTAAATAACTCGAACAGTAAACAAAGCACGCCACAAATCTGTATACATAGATCAGGGGAACAAGTTAATGGAATAATATCTCAACAGCTTTCTCCAAACAGGCGACCAGATGCTGATGCAAAAACTCATTATGATGAAGATAGACTTGTGCAGAATTTACATGATAAGTTACATGACCGTAATACCCCTGAACAAGAAACAACAGCTGGTTTGCACCGAAAATTTCCAAATGTGTTTCATGAAAGCGAAAGAGGGTCTTCATGTCACTCAGGTGGACAAATGAACTGTAAAACCAAATACCGATTGGCACCACCATTGTTTAGTTCCGGAGATGACTTATTACCAGGATACATGATGAATACAAAATCTCCACTTCATCTAAAATGCAGTGCAATACCTGTAGTTCGATATCCATACGATTCAGACGATGAAACAAATGACGATGATTCAGCTTCTGATGTAAATCTGGATAATTTTAACCACTCAGAAAATCTTGGCAACAAACCTGATATATGCTTGACTGCAAGCAAAGGTACTTCAGACAAAAAGCACTTAGTGACAACATCACCAATGGTGAATATGCTAAGTCCCACGTACAGTCACATATCTCGAACAATGTCAGATCATCGAGTGCAAAATCCAGTTAGTCCTTCACTTATGAGAAGTATAACTTCGCAGGGGAATCATAAATCCACCAGTGTATCTGAAAACAAATCGGAACCATTTTCTAGAAACAGGAGTACAGGACGACAAATAAATGTTTCAAGTGACAAAAAGAATTCTGAAGTTAATTTGTGTTCTTCCCCTTCTATTAATGCCAAAAACCGATGTTATATTTATGACTGTAATAATTTATCAGTCGACGATAACTTTTCTAGGAGTATGTGCGGTTCTGTTCAGCAGTAAATTATTGACACGCACATTATTTGTATATATTTACAGAGAGAATATTGCTTGACATTATTTATACTTTCTAATAAAGGTATCTATAGTCTTAATTATTGTGATGTTCAGCTGCACCGTGAAATTTACGAACTATTTGCTGCAAACACATGTGGATGCATACACATATACCTACGCACATGTTCATCATCTATACATACGGTGCATACTTCACTGTCATGAAATTCATTAGTATCTCTAAGGGAAAGAAACAAAACTTTGACAACCTAACAAAACTAGAAACTTCATTAAATCATCACGAAATGTGAACAAAATATGTTAGAAAACACACTAACTTAAATCATATTACATTCTAATGCAGACAAGAATTGGGGCTAATATCCATCTGACATTTCGTTCTACATCCAACAAACCATCAGTGATTCATCATTATTGTCACTCCTTTCTTCATTACATAAATCAGTAAATGGGAGAAGACTAACAAAGTTATGGGTAGGCATGATTCCAGCCGGCATTCTTATTCGTCCCGTTTTCACTTTCCTTCGGCCTACGTTTTCTCAACTTCATTAAACTGATAAATTCATTTTAGGTTTGTTCATATAGTTACTGTCTCTAGAAGCAACAATACTTTTTCCAAGACAAATCTTTCACTGACCTCTGTTTTACAGTTATAGTTAGTAACAAAATAGAAACGTGATTATACGCTTCGGTATTTTTAACTTAATTTCTTTTATGTTATTAATAGGTGTCTTTTGATATATGAACAGATACAAACTAATTTAATCCTTTATTTTGATATGTAAGCACATTTCAAAGATACAAATATGTTGAAAAACAAGGATTGAATCTGTAAATATTGAAGACGTGGTGATGGTGAGAGTTTGACTTGATCATTGTGTCGAAGTCTCCCTTTTGTGGAAATAATACAGCTCGTAACATAAAATTATAGTGATATTGTGAAATATGAATGCCTGCTCCTTTAATTATCTTGAATGAAGATAAGCGTAGCTGAAATTGTGGATATTTGGGAGGAACAGAGAAGCATAATTACTCCCAAACGGAAACAGTACTGAGCTTACATGTTCTTATTTGCGTAACACTACAATTTTTCATACTATTCTACAAGAATATTTTGAGTGAACTGTTGTCTTCAGTAACTTCTTCAGACTCTACAGTTGTAAGTTCATGAATGTTGCAATACAATAGCCAGTAAAGAAAATCAAAATCAATTCAGAAACTGTAACAGGAAACCAGTAAAAGATGGAATAATAGTCCGTTGGTTTTGATGATCATTTAAATGCATATAAAATGTATATTTATTGAGAACCTGAGATAAAATGTGAATCAGCAGTTAAGTGACACGACTGTGTATTTATAACCAATAAAAGTATGAGCTCCGGGGAGTAAGTTATATTCAGTAGTGTGGAAGAAAATATGAGAGCTACTGAAATATAAACAAATAGATGGAGTGCAATGAAGTAATTTTAAGGCATCACAAGTAACAAACATAGTGATAAAATATAGTGGTCAAATAATGATCTGTAATCAAATAATTAAAACAGGATAAGATTAGTGCAACTCCAAAGGGTAACAAATGATCATGATGATGGGAGATGAACCAGGTCAAAAAGAGTAGGAAAGACATAATACGAGATTATTACGACCCTAACGAACTTAGGATTGGCCAAGGTTAACATACAGGATGAATGTGCATTATCTGAACTCAAATGATTCGTATAGCTTCAGCTGTGGCTGGGAGGTGTAACTGCTTACCTCTAGGAAGATAATTTGGCACTCGATAAACGACCTTAAATGTCTCTTTTATTTGATATGGTGTTCAATGACAGTGTTTATCGCTTTGGTTACTCCCTTTTCAAACCAAACTGGTATATGTTTGCCAGTGCATAAAGGTAAATTCCTCTATATAACCAGCTCCACAGGAACAATTAAATTTATATACACACAGTGACGTAATTTATTTTTAATGTGCTTTGTCGGTATATTTCTAGTGAATCTGTAGTATTGAAAGTTTCTTCTGTAGATCTACTCAACTTGTAACTTACCATATCACTAGATATACCTCCCTTTTTATTTTAACGATTCGTTAGGACATACACTTCTTTACAAAATTGGTAGGATATCCATTTTGTAACAGGGTACTTTCCTGAGTCTCGATTTCATCTTCAGTGCAATCACAGGAACAAACACGTGCTATCCAATGACTAAGACAAGGCATTACATTCTGCTTGTACTGCGTAGGTAGAAAATGGTGAGAATAGATGTACTGTCCGTTCCGCATAGCCTTCCTATAGATGTTGCTCCTTATCCATCCATTATTTTAGTAAGAAGAAGATGTAGAAAAGAAATGCTACCCTGGCATTCCTCTTCATTGTTACTATTGTTTCCTTTAGTTCCTAGAGGGCTTCAGCCACGTGTCTTCATTGCGTTCGATTCTCCGCCAACGTCTTCACCTGGCTCCACGTTCGCCCACATGCTTTCATTTCCTCTTCACACTACCTCCTCCATGTTACCCTCGCACTGACGACCAACTCGCCACTTCCCACCAAGGTTCCACTCGAGCGATGGCCTGGTGTGTGATGTTACTTGATGGTTTGTTTTCTCAGAGTATGCCCAGTCCACCTCCATTTCTTCCTGCATATTTGTTGCACAAGTGGTTCCTGGTTGGTTCGTTGCTAGAGATCCCTGTTGCGGATCCCTTATGGCCATCTGATCTTGTTGATGGGAGTCTGTAGATTGTTCGAAGTGCCCTTCATGATGCGCCAAGTCTCTGATCCGTATAGTAGCATTGACTCCACACTACAGTTGAAAATCCGGTTCCTAATTTTCATGCTGAGTGCTGTTGATCTCCACACAGACTTGAGAGAAGTGGAAGGTTGCCTTGCTTTCCCAAACCTCACTTCGATATCTTCATCAGCCCCCGTCCGCCTGTATTTGCAGCTATGCTTCCCATGTCGACAGGTAAAGGAGGTTGCTTCTATCACATTTCTCCCACCTATGTTGATTTTTGCCTGCTGTTGTTGTTATTGCTGTTGGCCAGGAATCTTCATCACCTCTGTTTTTTCTATATGCACCTGAAGTCCTATCTTCTCCAGATGCTTCTTCTGCCAACTTGTCGCTTTTTATTTGCATATCTTTCAGTCTGCGGGAAATCAGACAAATATCATCGGCGAAGTCAAGATCCTCCAATTTTTTGGTGTGGGTTCATTTTTGCCTGTTTCCTCGTTTCCCGCTGTTTGTCGCATTATTCAGTCTGCCGCAATCAGGAAAATCATTGGATATAGTAGGCAGCCAGCCTTGTCTTACTCTCGTCTTCCCTTCGAAGGATTCCGTGAGTTTCCCGTTGTGGATAACTACTTGGCACGCAGCATTGTCGTGCAACTGTTGGATGAGATGGATAATTGTTGGCGACATCCCCTAGTAGCGAAGTAGTTCTCAAATCACCTGTCGATCGACGCTATCGAAGGCCTTTTCAAAGTCGATGAAGTTGAGATAGAGAGGTGACTGCCATTGCAAGCTCTGTTCAGTGATGATACGTAGTGTTGCGATTTGATCGATGCATGACTCGTTTATCCTGAATCCAGGCTGTTCTCATCGAAGTTTTTTATCCAGGGCGTGTTTCATTCTCTCCAGGATGATGCGGCTTAGTATTTTCCTTGGGATGGACAGGAGCATAATTCCGCGCCAGTTCTTGCACTGACTTAAGTCTCCTTTCTTCGGCAGTTTGAATAAGTAACCTTTCTTCCAATTCGCAGGTACCTTGCCATCTTCCCACACCTTCTCCAGTATTGGTGTCATCAAGTCTGCTATTGTCTCTGGGTCCATTTTCAATGTCTCTGCTGGGGTTGCATCTGGTCCAGCTACTTTTCCAGTTTTCAGCATCCTTATTGCCTTCAGAGTCTCTGTTTTCGTCAGAGGGTTGATGTCTACTGGTAGTTCTGCTTCCTCTGTTGATATTATTGGTCGCGTTGTAGGAGCCGGTCGATTTAGAAATCTTCTGAAGTGTCCAGCCCAGTGTCTCCTTTACTCCACCTCTTTGGTGATTGGCTTTCCATCGTCATCCTTCACTTGCTTAATTTGTGTTTAACTTTTCCCCGATAGGAACCTAGTTGTTTGGTAGAGTGTTGCGAGGTCTCCTTTGTTTGTAGCTTGTTATGCTTCACTTGTCATAGCCTCATAACATTGCCTTTTGTCTTCAACAGCACTTTTATTTACTCGTTTGCTCAATGTATTGTAGCTTGCACTCAACTCCTGTTTTTGTTGCACTGGATAGTCTTTTGTTTCACCAACCTTCTTTCTTCTATTGATCTCCATGTGTCTGTAGTGGACCACTGTTCGTCCTGTCTCTTATTTCTGCCTAGAACTTTCATGCAGTTTTGACTCCACTCCGCTTTCGGGTTGTTTCACTGCTTCTCAACGTCGGTCTCTTCGCTAATGTTGATTTGCGTCTCCGCCTTTTTCCCTATAATTGCAGTGAGGATGTCCTTTGTGGACTAATCCTTCAGATTTTGAGTACTGAACTTGGCTTGTGGTCTATCTGCAGCTCCTGTTTCCTTGAAAGTTTTTAATTTGATCTGGAGTGTTCCTCGCTCGAGATTGAGTTCTGAGCTGACGTCTTCTCCTCTTCCTATTTTTGTGTCCAGTATATTTTTAGACTATTTAACTAAGTCTAGTTGTTTACTTACAACTCACTCGAAAGCTAAATCTCATGCGAAACGATGTAACCACTTCTTAGATCTCTATACAACTGAAAAGACGTGTAGTAACAGCTGAAGGTAAGAAATATTTTAAAGAACACATTAGAATCATAATATTGTTTATACGATAGTTAGTAGGAAACTATTATTAATTTCAAGTTATTGCAGAGATGAAAGCAATGATAACTTAAATGACGGACTGACTGAACTTTGCATTTTTAAATAATTACTTATGGAGACGTAGATACAAAGATATGGTCACCTTTTACTTTATAGGCGTCTAAACAATAATTTTGAGTTTATTGGGACTGAAATCACATGGATCTCTAGTTGCAGGAAATCCCATCCTTATTTATGCTGTAAAATTCTTATGACCGGCTAAACTATCTAGCAGACTGGAAGCAATACGCACTTGTGATAACGAAGTCTACTCAAATCACTAATCATAGTGTGAACCACAGCAACAACAACACTAGTATGCCAAAGCCAGAAGCGAAGACAGACCGTTGACAACAGAATCCTTAGGTCCACAACAATAATCAAAACACTTAACGGTAGTATTTTAAATGACCTCGAAAAACACGAAATGCATTGATAAATTTCAAGAATCAGTAGTCGATTAGAGCCCAGGCTTCTCAAAGAGCGGAAATTATAAAAGGCACCAAAGTGTGTTGCAAGTGCAAAATGTAGTTATTCCCTAACTCTGAGCTAACTTTGAACAAACAAAGAACATGTACGGACCTAGACAGTCATTATTCCTTTTGGGAATGAGAAAATATTGCGGAAAAAGTTTGAAATCACAATAGAAGTCGAATGCATAATTAAAGAATTAGTGTGTGATGGGTGTGAACGGATTTGAATAAGTAATTCAGACAGGAATGAAAACTGCTGGGGAAGAAGTTAACTTCATTACTTGTAAATCAGTAGGAAAATAACATGTTATACATTGCATCAAAACTGTTTAGAAGGATCTGAAAAACAAATGGTAGCATCAATAGGATATCAATTACATTAAAGCTGATGAAGCATGGAATAAGAAATTAAAAAGCTAAACTTGTCGGTATTTATAGAATTATGGTCGAATAAGTCTGAGGTTGCAGACAAGTGAAAATGCGTCAGTGATCCTAGGTAATACTTTAGCAAGTACTTCTGGTTAGTGTGAGTGGTATCCAGCTACTTATACGAATGAATTAGCAGTGTACACAATCACGTGGGAAGTTTAGAGGGAACAGCAGAGGTTTGTCCATTGACAACACTTTACATTTATGAAAGTAAGTTAATATAAGGAAATGGATGACTGCCCATCGAGTCACAGATTTCACTAATAATAACCCACATCTTTTGAACCTTTTTGTGATGAACACTCGGAAATCACTTATGTTCTTCATTGCTTATTTATGGAGGTGTGCAGGCAAAACATTTATATGCACTAGACACAGTTCGCTATGATGACAATGGACAACTTTTTTAGTGAAGGGAGGCTGAAATCACCTACTTCAGACTATGAAATCTAGGAAACTGTGTATGGAAGCTTATGCACTATGATTTATAAAGAACTTAGTTAACTGCTGCGATCTCCATATGACTTACGCCTTAGATAATCCGCCAATTGTAAGAATAGTTAAGACAGTTGTTGCAGTTAGAATTAGAAGTCTATCACATCCCTTTGTGAGCAGTGGAAAGAAACAGACATTTTATTGGAATGTTATCATGTGAAACACTACAAGTAGACAATACCAAGGGGAATTTTAAAAAATAGGAAACACTAAAATGAGACCAATACACAACACAGTACTGCCATACATCATGGTTATACAACATGGAATTGAAAGAATTTCGGTAAATATGGCTACTGCAATCACACTCAAAATAAAGAACTCTATGAGAAGTAAACTGATTCAATTTCAAGCACGTAAAGGTGAACGAGAAGTAATGACTTTTCATACAAACTTTGTAACTACTCAGGTTAAAGTGAAATGGACATAGACCATCAGTGAAGCCCAGACTATTAGTGTATGAGAATGCACAAATCTCTAAAGAATTTGTCACTAGTGGTTCATGTTTATGCGAAGAACTTAATACTGGACACTGCTTTCAATAAGTAGAGATGGAAAAAAGGAATGCAGACTGAATACATACTCATACACTATCGTTCCTAGCACTTGCAATAAAGACCACTTAGAATAACTGTCATCAGTATGAAATATTTAAAATGACTACTTCCTTTTATAAATTTCTGTAAAGCAATCACAGTGTCGGATGAACTGAATTCAGTTTAATTTCGCGTGCTGCAATTATACCATATACTAAATTAGAAATTTGTGTACAATTTAATAATTTGAGATGTCATAATCAAATGATCAATAAAAGGTAAGTATTTTCAAATCTACAGGTTATATATATATACATGGGAACAAAAATGGTACAATCCATAACCTGATTACTGATTACGGACAAAAGTATAAATAGTTATTAAGATGAGAAGTCATACCCTAAATTCGATAATCACAAAATACAATAACTCAACATAACACTGACAAGTTGAGAATAACGTTTAACGTAGAGGAGAGGGCAGTTGAGATATGATACCTTAGTATAAAACAGGATCAACGACAAACTCAAAAACAAGACTGCTACATAATAAATTTAACGGATAGTGAAAATTGTTTAAGGATAGTAAGGAAGATGGAATAAATAGTAATAAAAATAGTAAGTAATGCAAGATGGATCAAAAAATCCTTCTGTGCACATAAATTAAGCTTCAGTCGTCAAACTGTTGATTCTTCTGCTTATTATAGTAATCTATTATTACTCTGTCTGTTCAGTCCATCCCACAAAAGTTATTGTTCTCACTTTACAAGAATTCATAAAGGGAACTAACAGTGTGAGATTTTTAAATTCTAGCTTCCCTGGAAATGCGGTCCCTGTCTTAGATTATCTAGTAACAATGCGTTGTAAGATCATTCGTGTACAAACCTGCACGATGTTTCTCAGGACTTGTCTAGGAGACAACATTTCTCCTTGACAGTTTTATTAACTATTACGTCCACAAGATCTGTCCTCTAACCAGATCATATTTCGAGACTGCTGATGATACATTGAGTCAAATGATTACTATATTCAAACCTATTCAATCACCTGTGAATATTTTATTTTACCACAAAGAATTTGTTAATTTCTATAGAACTACAGAGGAGCGTAAGCGCGTGAAAAAATTTATCCTGAAATTCCTGTAAAGAATGTCTTAAATATTTCAGACGTTCGCTTATGAAAACCTGAGTTAGAAGCACTATCTTCAGGATTTAAATTTCATATTCCTTGTAATAAATCAGACTGAATCTATCTTGAAACTCAGTTTAAGAATCTATTTAATCAGTTTTCTGATTCAAAGCCAAGATCTAATGAAAAAGAAGGCTAGCTGAAAGCCGGACTCGTGAATTTAACTGACCAATACGGCAATCGCCCAGACAATTCGAGAAAGCCACTGGGGAGTTAATAATAAATGACCAAATTGTCCTAATAAGACGTGATAAAGGTTCCACTTCGGTTGCGTTAAACTATATCTCGAAAATGCTAAGCTTATTAGGCGACAACAAACTCTTCTGACGTATCAAATGTAGCTGTTGGTGCACTTCTTAACAGTTTTTGGTACATTTTCAGGTATTACAGAGTGCCTCTCTCTCGTCTTACATGACTTTCCTGTTTCTAATGAGAACAACTTCGTCAAATACGCTGCTGATCTGACCGTCTCACTTCCTGTCATGTTACAATGTGTCACCAGGAGGATTTTATTTTTCAGTTTATTCGTATATATACTATTGCGCATCGAGCTGCACTGCAATTCCACATGTAGTAAAAGATTATGAATACCTTGCTCTTCTCTTCTGTATAACAAAGTTACTTCACAAGAATCGCTATATTAAGCTCAGTAAGGACAAATATAAATTTCTCCACTTCAGTGTTGTGAGTTAATTTGTGAACTGTGTAGGCCCCTAAAGTAATGCATTTGGCGTGCATGCTGCATAGTGAAATCAGGAGTGTCCATGTTGTACTGAATCTTCTGCGCTTTCTGTATGGGTTCGATGTTCATCAAGTGACCATTTAACAACTACTGAGTGTTGCATGTGATCCAGCTAAAACTATAACTGATAATTCCAAGGATTTCTGTCGTTTTCATTGGCAGCGGTTCACAGCCTATTGAGTTTACACAACTACAATGCCCATTTATCACTTTACTGAGGAGACATTAACTATGATTCGAGAAAAGTAGTACGTCAGTATGTGAATTTCATGAATCTGTAGATTGCATTCCATTCACTTAATACTGAAACTAAACTATGAGGGAACTGATATTTCCAAGAAGGATATAATACAAGGCTCATTTCTACAACTGCCGTCCTTATTTTAGTTCACTTTCATCATACATGTATTAACAGAATTGTCTGACACTCACTTCAGGGACTAAAATACTCATGCATATGAATGAAGCTGTATCGTTCACAAGATGCTTGTATCAAAGAGGGCACTGAAACATAAACTAAGTGTAACATGAAATACCTTGCAATTGTTATATCCTCTGGTCTTTCTTGGTCACTCTATATCTTGTCGATTTCTGTAATGTAATCTTTACAACTGTTTCGAATATTACTTCATAAAATTAGATACAATAATGTACGAGATGCCGCAAATTCAACACTGTAACATTAATACTATTTTCGAACAAAGCAGATTATTATTACTGTTGCACCTCGCTGCAGTATTAATCTGCTTATACCCTTATTATTGCCGTATCCTAAGTATTGCACTCATTTTCTCATTTCCTTGCACTGTGTAAATAGGGTGCAACGAAGAAGTAACAGTGAACTATAAGTAAGCAACGCTGACTCAAGAAATGGTAGCAGTGGAAAGAAATGAAATGAGTTGAAGACTTGGTAATAATACTAGTAATCTCCTTTTTTCCAAAACAGTACTTGACTTATTTACCTATGCATTTTAACGTGTCTTCTAATTATCTTATATTTGTCTTTGTAGACATTGCCTTAGATGCCGTTGTACGCATCGTCTGGAAGCAGCCTTTAATTTCATCTACCTTCCTCAAAGTTTGTCGTACGAAATGTCGAAATTTTACTGACTGGATAGCGCTACAATTGGTGTTTATGTTACTTATGCAGCGATACCCAAGACTAGACACGTTATAGCAACGTATGCCTGTAATAACGTTAACTACACAGTAAATACAATGCAAATTACAAAAACTAGTCATTATCTTTTCATTGCGTACTTACAAGAAAAAAAGTTTACCTTACTTCTTATACTATGTACTGAAGATTCCGCCTAGTACTCACTTCTAAAATGCTTTCTACTATATTCGTAAATGACTCTTAAACTTTTGTCACATGAAACGGTAAAACAGAAGGCGTATACAGTTTAGAAGTTAGGGTATATTTGCATTTATTGACACAAAATGTATGTACATCTTCCATTTTAGACAAGAAAATTCCCCAAGTAATTCTGAGTTGCTCGCAGTGCAAAAATAGTGTATTCATTACTATAATTATCCTGCATAACTGCGAAGCTTCTGTTCAATTGCCTGCGAAGTTGCAGTATCTCGCTGCAGGGTTTCTTTACTGAACTTTTACACGGCACACTACTTGGTAGCAACGAATCCTGCCAAAACCATATGCGACACAGGCGAATTACTTTGTCAACTAAAAGTATTAATTTAAATATTAGTGAGAGTTTGATTTACCTGTAAACTGAGGAATTCGAATGTGACACAGTAGCATATGCCGGCAAGGTATTCTTTGTGCCCTAAAAATTCTGCAGGTACAAGTTGAATTGGTATAATCCACTTGGTGCAGGTATATGCCGTCATTTATCATAGCCATATCATCAATATACAACTCTATGCTCATCCGACGATTACGGCTATAGTCCTTGGCAATTAACTTAGCGGCATACGGGAGTGAAGTTTCGTAATATCGGCATAACTGGTTCTGGTGCGTGGTACTAATGAATCCGACAACTTTCGACGATGACTTCAACACCCCGACGCTTTTCTGTGTGTACACACCATTTATACGTCTTGTACATACATACGTGTAGGGGATCTCTTCTGTGGAGATATCGTTTTAGGTGACTGTGAGAGCTTTCAACTCTATTGTTGGTACTATTAAACAGCCACAAAGTATTCGGCATATATGCCGCAGCCCACGTCTCCTTCTTAGGCACCCAGTAATGCTTGACATAATTCCATACCCTCCGATCAACCGTCCTAATGACACTAAGGTAGTGATGAAATCTAAACGGTTAGAAATCAATGCATTTACCTTTCAGGTGTGGCAGCTTTAACAAGACGATATAAAAACCTGCGTACAAAAGGATTTCGAGTCTAAATGCATCAAGTATTAATTAAATTCACCTCACCTTCCTGCTGAAAGCCCGGCATACATGAAATGCACAGATGACGATTTTCGCCTGAATGCGACTATTACGCACGGCGGATATGTCACAGTTGGCCGAATCCATTATGAAAGTTTCTGTAATGGACGTATTCTGCATTATTCTTTGGAAGTGTTCCAAGATCCAAGCTATATCGCATGACCTTTCACGTCTCGTCCATGCCAAAAGAACAGGCCTGCCATGACCCATATTGTCTGTTACCACCAACTGAAACAGAGAATTTCTGATTAAGAATTGTCAACCGTTTCACGTACAACCTACCCGTCCTTATTGGTATTGTATGTTGAGTCAATACACACCACCTCTCCATATTTCCGATATAACTGCACCTGTGATTCCAGGGCGAAGCAAATTCTGCTGGTTATCCCTGTATTCGATTCTACGTATTCAACCACCTGACCGCTTTGCCTTATTATGCGCATAACATCTGATCACAAAGGCATGGCTTCCAAAATAACTTTAAACTACATCACTTACCTGGTCTCACATCCTTACGTAAATTATACACATCTGTGCTCTGTATAAGGTCACAAGATTCCGTCGTCAAAATTTTACTAAAATTCTCTTCAGCATATTCTAAAACATCACCAACCTCAGATGCAGTCTTCACAACAGGTGCAATATTCTCTTTTTCATCCCCGGACAGGCGTCTAAAATATGGATCACCTATCATACGACTTTGTTCACATTTGTGATTGTGAACTGTTCTCGCGGAACAAATGATAAACTCGTTCTCCTTGTAGCGTATACGAAAGCCAGATTGGCAACCGGTGTATTTTGCACTGCAGAAATAAATAATAGAATTCTTACGGTTTGACGCGTAAACCTAAACCTCTAGATTTTCGCTTCATGCCATATGTACAACGAAAGACTACTAGTTTGTACTTCAACTCCTCAGATTCATGGTTCCGTATGCACTTTTTGATTACATAATGTGTATGAGTTGCCTAGGAATACTCTGTAATACATATATATATCGTACTGATTCCAGCTGACTTAGAGCATCTTCTACTTGAACCCAACTGGTATACCGGTGACTAAGCATAATTCCGTCAAAAAGTTTTTTGATATCCACTGATATAGGAAGGGCAGGTTGGTTGCCATTGTCTCCAGCTGCCAATGCGTTCATTGGGTAGCACTGTAAATGAAAAGAGAAGCTTTTGAATTAAAAATTCACGAATAGCCAACAAAGTACAATAAGCAACTTGAAAGTGACATTGAATTGGAAACTAAAGCGGAAAAAAAATATAAATTCATTACCACAATTACCGTTTTGGAAAGTTCCTGATTATTGCCACATTTACTGAAACACTCGTGAACGACAACTTTAGACACAAGTGATAAAAAGAAGCTCTGCAGAAATCATTGAGACGCCACAAACAGGAGTTAACACCAAGGATTTTAGGTGCACCCTATCATTTTTACATGTAACACATTCTCAAGCATCCTCCTGCACGATAACTGCCTTTAGGCTTAGAGACAGCTTTTGACGACTATTTTTAACAAAATCAACACAGTTCAAGCCAAATAAAAACCCGAATCACGTCAAATGCAGCTACCTAGATCAAACGAAACAAATCAGCCAAACTGAAATCAATTAGACCGCGCTAGTTTCCTCAAGGTAAAGTTGGAGGCGCCACTTCAAACAGGAGACATGCCATATCAACGCCTGTTTTGTGTTTCCTCTCTCTTCCAATCTCCGTGTGATACATACAAAGTATGTAAGGTACTGGATTTACTGCAGGATGGCTGTGCAATAACAGCTTTTGTAAGGGCGCACACTACGTGACTTGTAAGTATTGACGACAAAATCGAAATCAAAAAGATCCAGTTATTTAGGAAAGCGCTTGGATGAGCAGTATAATTATCTAAAATAAAAGGTTAAAGTTATCAAGGGAAAAGATTTTTGAAATGATCTGGCTACTATGGTTGAACTAGAGACGTAGAGCCTATGGGTAATAATAGCATCAGAGAGGACCGCCGAATTTCGTCCGAGACTGTACCTATTAAAATGAAACCCAGAGTACGCGAAGCATTCGCAGCGTGCAGGATATCTACTTATTTGATATTAAGTTGTCAGTTTGATGTACTAATCTTGTCTACAGCTTTGTTTTGGTGTCAGGAAGGGTGCAGTGCTAGATATCCTCTTAAGGAGATTAGTGGGACAGTGGAAACCTTCGACACTGGGAGGCAACATTTAGAAGGGCCCTTAGTGCCTTATCCGAAGGTACATTGGTGGTTCAGAACTAGCGCAGCTAAGGCGAAATGACATATTGTCAGCATCAGATGTATTACCTTACGATTCAAGATTGTAAGTCTAGTTCCAGGTTTGGTTTTTGGGGGTCTCCTGATCTTGAACATGCTGGAGGCAGTGACTCCTCCCAGGCAAAAGCTGCTTTGATACGATCAACACGTACTATATCCTGTCATTCTGCTCGACCACTGAGGAAACATTCCTTCTACCACTAACGACTTAAACATCCATCGTAGGAAGCTTGTGAGGGTTTACTGACTGCACACATAGGCACAAGAATGTGTGTGCAGTCCTAAGTTGAGCATTTAACGGTAAATTCACGCCATGCACACGGGCTGAAGTTGGCTGAAGCTGAGGTACATATAATGCCCTAGATTCTAGGGATAGCTACTGACATCAGAGGAGTTCGGTTAGCCGCAATCTGAAGAAGAAATTCCGCGGTGGTCCATGTAGTTCCATGAACCAGCCCTTCTAAAATGCACCAAATCGGATGCTGAGAAATGCTAGAGGGGGAGAGTTTGTCCATCAGGCGTCGTCAACAGCCAATTGGCGATGAAACGCTCCGCCAGTCCATTAGCTGAATAGCAGTATGTCGAAGTTCGAATGTATTTGCACCCCAGTAGTTCTTAAAACTTCATCACTAAAGATCCAAATTGTTGCCCACGGTCAGTTGCCACCTTGGAAGGGCATCCAAATTGTGCAACCTATCTTTGATTGGACAGTCGGCAGATTGTTGCAGTTGTTGCGTTGGTCATAGGAATTGCTTCCGGTCAGAGTAAGGAGATCCACATAGGCAAAAATGTACGATTAGCCATTTGAAGCAGGTAGCAAACTGAAGTATCTGGATGAAAGTGGCTAAATGGTACAGCACATATAGTGAATGGGCCGATTGAACTAACGTCGTGTTTATGTATTCTCAAATACTGTATGCAAAAACGTGAATGTTTACGCACAACATGGTTAATGCTGCGAAGATCTGATGGATGTGGCTCATCCAAATGCATTTGCCATCGATTGTGTTGGACGGTCCCTAGAAATGCACATAATTGATGTGGGTCAAGCGCGTATGTCCTTGGTTACCTTTTTGAGTACTTTAAGGGAACGTACAGTGCTACCACTACCTCATTTGGAATGCCTGAAAAGATTCAAAGAGTGCAACCAGAAACGAGGTGAATCCACCAACCAGTTCGTCTTGCGTCCTCGAAAAGTCACTCGTCAAGCCAAGAAGGACAAGTCGTATTCAGAAGTTGAAGACGCTGTCTTTTGCAAGTTCCCGCGGGGTGTCGACTTTGTTGCAAGAAGGACTTCAACTTGCACACTTCAGTATCTATGGAGGAAGCCGAAAACAGGGCACGCTTACTGGAAAGTTTCGAAAAGCCGGGAACTACATTCTCACAGACCAACGCAGTAGGATATCGTCACAGGTCTACAGAATTCGCACAGAGGCCTATACCATAGTGGAAGGGACATCAGCGGTCACAATCTACTTCACAAAACGATTGCTACTACTTTAGGCAGTTTGGCAAGCTTCCTAGGAGTTTTGGCCACAACACAGGTGAGTCACATGTTGATATAAACTGTGTTCCTATGGTTAACCTAATCGGCGTTACCTCCTCCCTGAAAGCTGCAGGATTTATAGGTGAAAAAGTGTGTAATGTTAGTTGAATCCGGAGCAGCTTGTTCTGTCATAGATTCCCCATGTGTCCCTGAGACTTTTAGGCCCACAATAGGGACTCACTAGTTGCGGCCTACGACAGCCAATGGAGATTGCATGCAATCCCAGAGAGTGGTCCTACTTCTTAAATTAGGGACACTGTCCCTTCAGCCCTCTACCATCGTGTCTACTCAGGCTCCATAGCAAGTGATCCTGAGAGTCGACCTCCTAGAAAAGCTGTCTGGGATAACAGATTGTAGTCAGAAGACCCTTATACTGAATGACGGTCTCATTCCATTCATTATAGGGAATGACCTAGAGCAAGGCAGCTTAGGCGTGCAGGACGATGTTAGGATCCAGAAACAGGGAATGCTAACTATTATAGAACCCATACCTACGGAAACAACAGCCAACTTCAGTAAAATGTTCGACGGTTATATGGACTGCTTTGACTAGGATGGAAAAAACCCAGAGGGGAACAAAACTGGTCCATCACCACATAGAAACAGGCAATGTCTCACCTTGTAGACAGCCTGCTCAGCGAGTACCTGTACATCACCAGAAGAAGCTGAATAAGTTAGTTGATGAACTGTTAGAGAAGAATGTCTTCAAACCCTCCGTATCTCCATGGGCTTCCAAAGTAGTTTTAGTCAGGAAATAGAATGGAATACTTCGGTTATGTGTACATTATCGTGAGTTGAAACGGTCGATTAGGCGAGATTGTTTTCCCCTGCCACATACAGATCACACTTTTGATGCCCCAAAGAGAACAAGTTGGTTTAACACCCTAAACTTAGCATCGGGATATTGCCAGGTAGAAGGACACCCAGAGGACAGGCAAAATCAGCGTTTATTGTGCAATCAGAGCTGTGTGAGTTTGAAATAATACCGTTCGGGTCAGTAAATGCCCCAGTGACATTTCAACGCCTCATGCAAACGGTCCTGAGTGACTGTATACCAGGTAAGTGTTCGGTATATCTCGATGACATTATCATACATAGTAAGACTACCAATCAAGAAGCTATTGCTCAACGAATCTGTCCAAGAAAGTGGAGATAGACCGGACATAGATTGAGCAGACAAACGAAAGATAGCGCATGCCAGTCCCTGGAGTGGAACCCGGATGGGAAATGACGGATTTGGCTTTATTTCAAGGGTCACATGGAGGAGGTCGTGAGAGGAGTAGATGAAAGCTTTTAGGCAATCGTGAGGCCGGATAAAGGTGACCACAGTGAAATGGACGAATTGGAGATGTGCTGTCGAATCCCTATATTCCACTAGGAACCAAAGGGAACAATAGAAAAATAATAATAATAATTCGACAAATATATTTTCAAAATGTAATTTTCACATATAAAATGATTCCCTATATTTTTGTTTTATTTCAAAATAATAATCATTTTTGGTGAAAAACATTATACATGTGGGATAAAAAATAGAAGTCATAAACATAGTGACTAAAAAATTTGAAGAAACAACATTTGAAAACTCAATAAATCTTTAATTTTTACAAATGAGTGTTGTAAAAGAAAATTATCAGTTGAAAATTATGTGTAATACTTAAAAGCTATAGACAGAAATGTAAGAAGTGCTATAGGAGTCAGTGATACGCCAATTGAATGACCTTTACATATGAAATTGTATCGAAAATCAGGGCCATCTGTGGAAAAATAAGAAAACAGACACTAGTTTTGTTATCTCGTTAAAAAAAAACAAGCATTTACCTACACAAGTTCGTAAGCAAATTACTCAGAGCAGTGAATAACATTCAAATGGTCTTTTATTTTCGAAAAAAACATTAGAAATATTAATCTCACTCTACTAATTATAAGAGAAAGCCGGAATGATAATTTACTAGGTTATAACATTATTATTTACATCATATTCTACAAAACCAAATGGATTTAAAATCACTTTACGGTAGGGAAAAATAAATATATTCTGCCTATTATTGTTGTTGCAACAGCATTGTGCAATTTGCTTTTTAGTTATGAGATGAAATGAAATTCAATCAGTAATAAGATTTTGTTAGAGACCAACATTTCGATGAACCTAATAAATGGATCACTTCTTAGTTATACCTGACAAGTGGAATAAAGTAGTAGTCTGTTTATAACTTGAAAGGCATAAATGTTCAGAATAATCTATGTTACTATCCAAAATGGTATGTGTATAAATGATTTAAAGAACCAGTTCAGTGAAACGTACGATGAAACTTAAT